ACTAACACCTTGGCTCTGCCATCATTCTTGACATGTTCTTGACACTCCTCGCACTCCGAACAAGCTCGGTATTCCAAATTAGACGTGATGCCTCTACAGACACATCAAATCATGAATCATGGACCGCCCCAAACGACTCTCCTGGTGACTTGAACGGTTACGCACCCTCTCCCTCTCACTTTTTTCTCACTCTCTCCCCGACTGGCGAATCACTCTCATCAGCTCACCGCCTCGGACCTCTGTTTCACGCACACAGTCGTCCATATCCAAGTAAACCAAGTTCTCGCTCGGCACCACTAGCTGCCTCGTCATTGCTCCATCAACATTCCCGGGTCAAGCCACACTCTTCCCGGTCTGGACCAGTGAATCCCTTTTCGCCCTAGTCCACCACTGCTTCTAGACCTTGCAGGCACTCAAAGACTCATAATCCTCGGACCCCAGCGCAGCAAGGATGTAAGGGTTCTCATTCCCTACGCCGATCTCTCCTCAGCCTCCCCGCCGTTTGCTCTTGACGACTTCACGGCCAACCCCCACCCTCCATCACGACCCCCCTCCCCCCCTTCAAGACCTACGTCTATTTCTCAACTTGTCCGCCCGTTCCGTTCACCCCATCACATCAATAGGTACCATGTTCACTAGCTACACCCACTCACATTTCTCACCATGCATTCCCCAATCGACCAAATCAAACGGTGGTCAGTTCCCGGCTCCAAATGTGGCGTCACGTCGAGTGGCTGAACTCTCATGAACTTTCCAGCTGGTCCACTGCCATGTTCAAGTGTTGTCCGACTGGCCAACTTTTTGTCGCTAGCATCGGACGGCTATGTATGCGACCGGTGTTACTCGCAGCAGTTCGCAGCTCGAATCCCAGTCGCTTGCCAGGAGCACAACCTGTAGTCCGGAGAAGCCTACAAAATGTCCGCCTATTTCTTAGTGAGAAGCACGCCGAGCAAACATGACAGGAAATGGCAGATATCCTTGGCATAAAGCGCTTACGTTCACTCATCTGTCCGATTTGGCACGAAAAGGCGGTCATCGTGGCGGCCGCATGAGAAAGAAGTCAGACAAATCACTGCTAGTCTCCGCTCACCCTTCCCGATCCTTCACACCATCATGTACGTCCTCCAACACCCCACTCCCAATCCTCTCTCGATGAAGTTGAATATCACCCCAATCTTTCTCGTATTGTGCTTGCTGCTCTTGATGGACCCAGAGGAATGCCGCATGACTTACCCCTTGGCTAATCCAACCTCGCCCCCCGAGAGCCCGCATCTCTTTTCTTGCTTTCAAGCCACTACCCCATATTATTACCATGCTGGCCGAGAAGCCACGGCCAGCCACGGAGCTAGTCTACTAGTAGCCCTATGACGGCGTCATGTCAGACCTACGGAGTTGATCTCTTCCTCCTCTTTGACCGTTGAACTGACAGAGATGTACAATGTTCATCGAGGACATGCGAATCTGCAAGTGCCATATTGCGGATATAGAAGAAGCCACATCGTACCATTTGGGTCCCTTGTCACTACCCAACTGCCATTCCGACTTCCGACTCCTTCGTCTGAGCGAATAAGAATGCCCTGCTATTGTCTTATGCTTAACAGTCATCCCGAACCAACCTCAGCCAAGTCTCTGCTGTAGCACTGACCCTGTTATCGAACATGGCGTCCTCTGAGCAGGGAACAAGTTCTAGTCAGGGTAGGACGGTCTCATTGGCAGCCACCATCTGCACACCCTCTTTCATAAGATCGTCTTGCTCTAGATATCTTTGGCACATCATCTCGAACCCCATGATCCCCACCCACCCCTCCTTCCCGGCGCGTTCCAGTCCGCCTGTGGCAAGCAGGTTGGTTTACCTATCGTCTTTCTTCGTGTGGCGCCCGGTAGTCTCGGATCTTGCCATCACGACGCGTAAATTCTAGAGACTCGGTTTTACGTGAGCTCTCGCCCCAGGTTTCAGACATACCCGCTGTGTTACAGGCCACAGAGTGACATTCTTCCATCGTACTACGGATCTTTCTCTTAAACTCTGGCTCCGAAAGATCGATAATGAGGGTCTGACAATCCAAGGTGGATCTGAGGGGTCTGCTGACCAAGGTGTAGATGCGTGGTGTCCCTTGCCATCGTGACGTCCGCTATTCCATTCGACGCGGCTGGCTCTTATGCTTTTCGTGGGGGTAAGGACAGGAACTTCAAGGTCATGCATGCCTTCCGGAGCGTAAGTCCCGTCATCTTTCCATCACCAACACAATATTATGAAGCTACATAAATTATCAAGAGCTTGATTCACTATTTTACGTTTGATCCTCTTGCGTTATAGGATAGCGTACGGTGGTTCAGCTCTCATATTAGGTAGCTCCATGGTTTGTTGTTAGTCAAAACCAAACCTGTTATGTACAAAATCGCATTGAATTTGCCCAATGGGACGCTAGCAGCCTAACTATCAGATCAAGCCACAATCCCAAGCTCTGGGATCCGTACGGACTGGGCGGCGGCTACGCGGTCACGGAAGGAACGCCCGTTTGTTTAGTAGCCTGGGGTTGTGACTTGCCATGTGACTCCAAGCCTGCGGCCAAGCGGTGTGGGTGGATGTCTCAGAGTCCTTGGTCTCCAGTGCGAGGACTATTGACGCGTCTACTCGGGGCTGGGGAGCCGCTGCCGCTTCGTATCGTAGATAAGCCGGCATGTTCATTCTTCGACCGACTATTCTTCAATAGGCTGCCTTCCCATCTCGTTTCGACCTCCATGGCCGTTTGCCAAAGGTTGTCCGAGGAAACTGCAGGGGCGACTAATCCCGATACACGCAATGTATGCAGGCTTGACAACTCACTTCACGCAATGGAAGAATGCAATGAGAGCCAGAAGGTCGGGGAGACTAGGCAACCCTCCGAGTAGAGTCAACATTAGAATGCGGCCTTGTGATTTGCCACGTTTGTTTGTATTTTGATCAGCTGGACGCGCAACTATCACTGGGGAGGTTGTACAGTCTCAGGTGGGTGTCGTTGGATGTGGGCTTCGCCCACCCTCTGATGGCTTCGGAATATGCGACTCCTCGGACGCACAAGGCTGACAGTGGTTTTCGTGTTTTTGATGCTGCTGTGTAGGCCCTACGGTGATCCGGATCATCGCGATGATGTTACGACGATAATGTACATGACAAGCCAGTCCATTTAGAATCACTCAAGGCGCTATAAATGCAAAGATGCTTTTCTAGCCTCATCTCTTTACGCCCAAAAATCATGCAGAGTCTCAAAATGTTTGACGCGACGTAGCTTTTGCCGAATCCTTCAACTTGGAGAAGTTGATCGGCCGACGCTTGACTCCGGCGAGTCGTCTGTCTTGTCCGACGGGCAAATTCTCGGACATAATTCATACTCTAGGCCGTAGTGTACCCCTCTTTGTTACCAGTTCTTGTCAACTGGTGATGGTCCGGTAAGGACAAGACGAAGCAATAACGTTCCCTCCAGACGGCAACGGCTGGGGAAAACCCCGATTTCGTATAAAGATCTCGTATCGGACAGAGAAGGTGAGCATGCGAAGGAACCCAGGACATCTGCCAAACAGTACTTGTACCAACGATGCTAATCCTCATTTGAGCATCAGCATTATTGGCTCGACGCAATGTTGAGCTCCATGTAGATAGTTGAGCGGTCATGTGCCATGAGAAAAATAGAACACCTTGACTAAACGTCTTGTTCACTTTGACTCTAAGCTTCGAAATTAGCGCCGGAGCCGAAGATCGTCTTGTCGACTTTGAAAATAGCTTCATAGACTCTGAGAGTGTAATGACCGTATCATATCGAAAATCACCGTTGATGAGGCAGTCTACCAGCATATTGAATAGATTCGCTTGAGCAATGCTTTCTGATGTACAAAATGGGCATATTTCTCCCTAGATGCAGCCCTCTATTCCAAATTACCCACGGTACTGCTGCCATAATGATTGGAATTGCAGCAAGAAACGTGTTTTCCCGCCACAGCCCTAGAGTAGAATACAATGGAGGGCCAGCGAGGGGTAAGATTGCTCCAACACTCCGCGAAACAGTAGAAACAGCGGGTGCGGAGGCGACATGTGTGCTGATCGTGTCAACAAGGTAGGACGCAAGGGAGGGTCTAGAAGACTTGTCAGTATACCCGGATTCTGATAATCGAGACTCGCATTATTAGCGAGTTTAGGGTAACCTTTACCTATGAAGACATATATGATACCAACGCCAACGATACTTATGCCGATTGTTGGAACCATCAAAACGACAGCTTCAAATACCCATATAAAAGCACCCCGAGTCGAACCATGGATACGGAGTATGCCATGAGGGGTAGACAGATTCAGGTCTCCTGACTCCATATTTGTGAAGCAACGTTGCGGCAAAATGACCACCCCTGATTGAGACGGGTATTATTCAAATACATTCCCTATCTCTATCCTCATACACGTGAGACGAGAAGAGGTGGCTGAAATCCGACTAGCCTATGAAGGCCACCAGTAATGCTATGGAGAAGAGGTAACTGAATAGCATATTAGAAAGGTACAAAGAACTCTTAGGTGTAGATGGGCAGAAAACATACCAGGTATCCATATAGAACGCGACATAAGAAGAATGTGCGAGGACCACTCAATGTAGAACAAAAAGCCGTGATGCCTCTTCGTAACCCTGGAGGAAATCTCCGCTGTCGAAACCCCATCGTCTATAGCCGAGATTGAATATAACTTGTAATCTCATGTGGCTGTTCTGATCTTTCTACGGCGTTTCTCGAGCAGTTTCTTCACAGAGGTCTCTGTGTGGACCAAGATGATGGCTATACCAAATGATCCTACGGCCTCCGATAGAAAGTGGGCAGGCACCGGCACATCAGCTGATAAAGCGAAAGACAAGCAAGACGCCAAGGCTGTGCGAGACAGCACAGGCTTGGTTGCTGTCATGGAGTCGATTTGAGATGGGACATGCTGGATATCTTCCGTACCGTAAACATAGACATAATGCGTGAAGTCAGAACTCCCCTTAGGGCGCTGAACTGCCTAAGAATGCTCGGTACGGCGTGAGCGTGAGCGGGTGAGGCAACTGCCCTACGTAGAGAAACACGTCAGTAATTGCACGATGAGACAATCAAGTCGCCTCGAGCCTAAACTAAGCTGTTCACGCATTTAGCATGGAATTACCCACAAGCAGGATCTGCACCAATCTTGACCTCATTGCCCAATGCATCGAATTTTCGGAATGTTGCGGCTTCTTCCAGTCGATGATGTATGATGAATCTTTCTCCGAGATCGTTGAACAATCACTGGCCGAAGGGGCAAAGTAAGGCGATCGAGCCGACTCATTGTCGTCAGGAATGCTGCTGAAGGCGGTGCCCATGTAGAGGTTAAGCTCGTCAACTGGGCCCCAGGGACGACCGTCCGCGCTGAGCCGAAACCAAGAAAAGCCCGATGTCCGTGAGTGTCGTGAAGATTCACTGCTGACCCTGGATCGTCTCTCCGCTGATGCCACTGGCTCTGGATACCGTGGCTCGTGTTGCCCCGTTCCCGCATGGTCTCCTTGGGTGGAAGCCATTGGGCCTAGGTTCCACACCCTGGTCTCATGGGAAGCTCCGAAAGATAGCTAAGCGAGTGTTTTCGGAAGGGAATGAATGGAAGAGGTGACTACTGCCATCAAGACAGTCCAGCAGCCTGGGGTAGTGACCGGATGATATGCAGCGGGGAGGCAGCGCAGTGGGATCTGACCCTAGTATTCCCCCCGGGTTCGGACATCATTGTTTTGCCATCTGAGCACTGCCTGCTTGCCGCAGTCATACTACTGCTGTGTCGAGAGTAAACGACTGCCATAGTTGGTGACGTTGCGGTGCCTGACGTGGCCCCGCTAAATGGGCTGTCGATTGCTTCAGATAGATTCATCGGAGACTTATCACATGACGGATGCCGGCAAGTACCTCGTAGTACTCGTGCGTGTTGTAGGACCGGCATGGCCGAGGAGCTCAATAGGTGAGCGAGTTAAAGGGCTGTAAAAGTCAGGCGTAAAACACGCGGGTAACCCCGGCCGATCTGGGTGTTGCGTAAATCATCTGCCGCGCGAGCCGACCTGCTGAGCGTTCAATAAATCATCAACTATGATTTTCTCACTGGGCTTGCCTTTCAGGTGTGCTGCTATTCACGGGGAGTTGGGCTCTAGGCCCCCTGTTTCATGTTGCTCGAGAATGAATCGCATGACGCCTTGTCCGAACCGTGTGATGGAAGTTTAAACTTGGACCCCCAGTTGTCAAATCCAGACCCACGTCAAAGTTCTTTTTTAGAAGACAAGCTCGTCTTCTCGTCTTGTGTGACGATCGATTATGTATACCTGGGCAGATCCCATCGTACAATTCGCAGAATATCCCGTTCCGCCTGCTATCAAACTTTCTCAGCCATGCTAGTGACGAGATGGGACTTGACTTCTGTCTTTGCGATTGAACGCCTTGGAACAAATTACTGGAATCATTCGCAATCTCAATATCAAATCTCGCATCGATAATAATACAGGAACCATTCCGTCCTCTTGATGTCACCGTGGCTGCGCGATAACTTCAATAACCTAAGTTAGAACCAGGTTCTCTTGTGATTAAGAGGAAGGCGTCGATCCCATAAAAAGACTTGACACAAGATTATGTGGCTAACAGCGAGTTAGGTACACAAAGGCATTTTTAACTGCACTGCTGTCTTCAGATCATGTGAAATTTATTTTGGTTCTCAGGATCTAAACATTGAACTACAAGCCGGCTGAGAGCACCATTGGTGCCGGCCGATGAACACTGGTCACCAACGACGCAAACAATGATACAAAATCTAATCCATGTAGCGAGCTTGAGGATGACTAGCACCGATACAAGGTAGCGCCTGGGGAAAGAGGTCAGCAATCCCTAGTTACCTTGGCTGGCGAGATGACTGACCCGAAGCTGCATCGCGCTTGTATCGTCGAGCGCATACCCGTTTTGGGACCAAGCGTTGCGAGAAGGGCCGGGCCCAACGTTGACAGCAACGTGAAGAAGAGAACAATCAGAGACGAGTCGCGGAGATTGAGACCAAAGAGCGAAGGACCCAGCATACCGAACGTGATCCTTGAGTGCTGTTAACAGACAACATTCGCACCCTTGATAGTTAGTCTAATACACGGAAGAATACTGGCATTCATAGAGCACCAGACAGTAAATGCATTGAAGTATCGAGTTGATTTGCGCTCTCCCAGCGGAATCGGCTCAATGCCTTGTTCTTCAACTCAGCCCAGACGCAGAAGGTTGTGAAGTAAGCCATCGCGCTCATTGTGTCCATATTGTGGTTTGGTTATGACTAATTGATAGCTCTTCCCTTCAAGTTATGCGTGTAGTTGCTGATTCGCTGATGACGGCGGTGGCGCTTCAACATCCATGATGTTACTGACTTGCCGTGGTCTCTGATCTTGTACAAAGCCCTCGTGATGATGAAATCGAGTGAGATGAGCGTGGTTGCACAAAATCGCAAAAAGATGATGAGACTCTCAGAGAGCGGTACGTGGATGTGACAAGCTAGTTCAAGTCGCAGATCCGCTGCTGCTCGATCTTGTCCTACCTCAGACCCGACTGTGTGGTACAGGAGGGTGGCAATTGGGTATGCGTGGACGCACAAAGGATGACGGACGATCTAGTTTAGCTGATGCTAATGAACCACCGCAATGTCTCTGCGTTAGCACATTAGACAGCGTGACAAGTCAGGGAAGGTAGACGAAAGGAACTTGGAAATACCAGATTGAACACTACGAGATGTTTGCAGTAAAAATGGAACCACTTGTTGCGAGGATGCAAACCACCATGGGAGCATGACCGGCTGTCAAATACTATTTTGTATGGCTCTTCTTGTCTATTACATACAGGGCAGTCCACTAGCGGGTGTGGCTCACACGACTCTCAAGTACCGATACTTTGCGATCAGTGACAACTTAAACTCAGTCAAGCCAATGTGGTTGTCATCGGCAGATTTTTGCCCGTGAGCAACAAAATGGATGTAGCTAAACTTGGTCCTTGACTTCAAGGACCCCTTTAGTGCCTCGGGCTGTCAACCGAGTGGCTGTAGGCTTTGATGACTTTTCTTTGATTTGCGGAAGAAGCCTATTGTCGTCGAAGTCACTTGGCTCCTCTCGCCCCGCCCGTCTCAGAGAATGTCGTTGACGATCGAGAAAAAAAAGACTGCGGCCAAAAAAAGAAAATGAAAAGAGAGAGAGAGAGAGGGACGGTGTTCAGCCTCCCTCTGTTTTCTTGGAATTAAATCACCACTAAGGTTCTAAATCTACAGATTTGGTTGGATTGGCATGTCGCTTGCTTGAGCTCCTGGTTGGGAATCGCTAGGGTCTCTGCGCGGAGTCACCCAACACCCCAGCACGCCGGCTCCAGTCGGACGCCGAGAGACGACGAGGATTAACGAGAATTGATCTGCTAACGGCGTCATCTCCGGCATGAGCAACGGCCGACACGGTGACTTTGCGGCGAGCTTGATTGACAACTTACAGCACCGATGCTGGAATGGTCAACTTGCTCAAATCGTGAGAGTAAAATGCAATTTGCTGGTTAAGCAATCGCCATCCAACCAAGAATGGTCTCGTTCTGTTCCAGCGTTCCGGGCCAGCGGCTAGTTGCGCCACCTCTGACACAGTTTGGAAGCTCAACAAAATTGTCACCGTAGATATCGGCTATCAACCGTCTACTTCACACGCGGCACAGTACATCATTGACTTTTCCCGACTCAAGGTGATATGCCCGAGCAAATTTGACTGTACAAAACAGCGCAAATTCTATGCTTCAAACAATCAAGGTCCATTGGAGTTTTCTCTTCTTCTTCTTTTTTTTTTTTTTTTTTTTTTTTGTGTTTTCCCTTCTTGTCCCTTCCCTTTTTGCATGCAGCTGCTTCACATTCTTACCAAGTATTTACTAAAAACGCGCTGCCTCACCGAACTTTAACTAAGACGCAGGACCAACGTCTGAAGCCTGCCTCCTCCCGATCAGTTCCCGATAGTGTTCGCCCAAAATACATGCATAGTAGCTGATCTCAACGAAGTTTCGCCACTACTTCTGACAGCTTCTGTCAGATGGTTGCGAACTGAGAGGGCAAGGGATCTTCCAAGGGTGTTGGTGGGGAGAGACTGCCTGCTCCCTTGAAAGAGGGCTGGAAGATCATGGCCTGCACTTCTAGGCACGTAAGGTGTTTAAAGAGGAGACATCAAGGGCTGTCGTCCTGATGTTCTGAGCTTGTTGCTAGTAACAACCCCCAAGGGTTTACAAGCCGAAGCCAAGGTGCCATAACCTGATGACTTCGAGTTATCTGCATGGCGGGGATTCAGGGCGGAACAGTTAAGCCCGGATGGAGCCCGGCGCCAAACATGGAGAAAGTATCGGCCCCGAACTCCACCTAACCGGTACGGACTACCCCTTACCCCTGATTCGAACCCCATTTCTTTTCTGAAGGCTCGCATTGCTGGTTGCACTACTCCGTACCTACGCCCCTCAAAACGCTTAAACCTTGAGAGCCACCACGGTCACTTTCGTCTCAAGGGACCCAGCTCAACGCGCTACGTGGCGGCTCCTGAGACACAATGTCCCCTCGGTTATATGCTTTGTCTGAAGCTGACATTGAGCAGCTGTGGCCCTACACCATGGCTTCCCGTCGCGAACTCTCCAGTCAAAGCTCCCTGAGAGTATCCTGAACAACTATACGAATAGTCGACAAACCCCCGTTCGACATGACAAGATGGCCAATCGACGACAACGGCGTGTCATAATCATCGCCGTAATCCTTTTCGGTCTCTTTGCTTTCCACAGCCTTCGTTCCAGCAGGGAAACGCCTCCCGTCGTCCGCGAACATGTCAACATCCGCCTCGTAAAGAGTAGCTTCGACTGGGCCAACCATCGTCACAAGTACCCCATATCCCCATCACGAATGCACCATCTACCTACACAGCGGCCAAAGACTCTCCCGCGAGTCCAATTCAATTTTGGCGCCAAGCGAATGCGCAAGAACGATGCGAAATCTGAATCGCGACGAACGGCGGTCCGAGAAGTCTTTGTCAAGAGCTGGAATAGTTACAAGGAGTACGCGTGGGGCTTTGACGAGCTGACGCCGGTTACGGCCAAGGGGAAAGACACCTTCGGCGGTTATGCAGCAACTCTGGTTGACGCGCTCGATTCCCTGTGGATAATGGACTTGCGCGATGATTTTGACGCTGCCTTGTCTGTCATTGGGGCCATGGATTGGGATGATACAAAGGAGACGGCTGTCAATGTCTTTGAGACTACTATCCGTCATCTCGGAGGATTATTGAGCGCGTACGACCTTAGCGGGGAACCCGTATTGTTGCTCAAGGCCATTGAGCTCGGCGACATGCTGTATGCGGCCTTTGACACGCCGAATAGGATGCCTCCTTTCTGGTTGGATTTCCAGCTTGCTAAGGAGGGAAAGCTCGTGGCTGGAACATCGGATCCTTCAGCATCGCCATGCTCGCTATCGCTTGAGTTCACAAGACTCTCGCAAGTGAC